ATGACTGATAGTGTGTTTAACAAACTTAAACTAGCTTTATTAAATGTCAGGTCTTTGGCAGGAAAAACATTTGTAATCAATGATTTTATCACTGAGCACAATCTCGATTTTATGTTTTTAACAGAAACTTGGATTGAACAAAATAACAGTGCAGCTGTTCTTATCGAATCAACCCCTCCCAACTTTAGTTTTATGAGTCAGGAAAGAATGCATAAGAAAGGGGGTGGAGTTGCTATTCTGTTCAATGATTCCCTTCAATGCAGGAAGACATCTTATGGGAACTTTGCTTCTTATGTGGCCCTTCAGCTGAAATGCTCCTCTCGAGCTCTGTTCCTGAATATCTAAAGACCACTCAAATACTGTGCAAGCTTTTTTGATGACTTTACTGAACTGCTGTGTATAGTGTGTATTGACTTTGACCGTCTAGTCATTGTTGGTGATTTTAACATCCATGTTGACAACCCCCAGGACAGAGGGGCAAAATAACTGTTTTGTGTTCTTGATAGCTATGGACTGACTCAGCATGTGACGGAGCCCACGCACAATAAGGGGCACACTCTGGACTTAATTATCTCAAAGGGTCTGAATATCTCTAAGGTTGTGGTGACTGATGTTGCACTCTCTGACCATTCCTGTGTGTTCTTTGAGAGCTCTATTTCTGTTCACAAAAATGTTCAAAAAGAGGTAACCACAAAGCGATATTTAACTGAAAATACTAGGGAAATGTTTACTCAGAATTGTTCTTCCACACTTGCCCCTGCTAACATCTCAGTAAATGAGCTAGTAGATCATTTTAATTAAAAAATTTAAAATGTTATAGATGCCATTGCTCCAACTAAGGTAAAGGAAGTGACTGGGAAGAAAATATCTCCATGGAGAAAGGCCATGCCCGTGAGAGCAGAAAAAAGACAGTGTCGAAAAGCTGAACGTAGGTGGCGAAAAACAAATCTCCAGGTTCACTTTTAAATCTATAAAGAGAGACTTGGCCTTTATAATTTGGAATTGAAAAACGCACGACAATCGTTCTTCTCTGACATCATTACCAAAAACAAAAACAACGCACGTGCCTTGTTTGCTACCGTCGACAGACTAACTAACCCCCCAGTGTCAGTAGCCTCTGAATTTCTATCCACCAGGGCGTGCAATGATTTTGCCTCCTTTTTCACTGACAAAATTCAGAAAATCAGACAAGCAGTCAGTGCCTCTGCATCAGGTACAGCAAATGTGTTGTCCCTATGTCCACCTAATATCAATTCAAACACCATGACACAATTCCATCAGATTAATGATAAAAACCTAGAGGACATTATACAACTTCTGAAATCCTCCTCCTGCTGCCTTGATATTATTCCAACAGGATTTTTCAAAGATGTTTTGCCTTGCATGGCCTCAGATCTACTTCATATAGTAAACAAATCTCTTCACTCAGGTATTTTTCCACAGGCCCTGAAAACTGCAGTCATTAAACCGCTCTTAAAAAAGAATAATCTAGATGCTACAGTAATTAACAATTACAGGCCCATATCAAACCTCCCATTTCTAGGTAAAATCATTGAAAAAGTTGTTTTTCAACAGTTGAGTAATTTCTTGCATTTAAATAACTGTTTCGATGTGTTCCAGTCAGGCTTCTAAATTGGTTTGAATCCTATTTAAAGGACAGAAACAACTTTGTTTCTATAGGCAAATACACATCTGAGTTGACAAATATGACATGTGGGGTTCCTCAAGGCTCCATCTTGGGGCTTCTTCTTTTTAACATCTACATGCTACCACTGGCTCAGATAATGAAAAACAACAAAATAAGTTACCATAGCTATGCGGATGACACACAAATGTACGTAACAATTTCACCAGGAGACTATGCTCCAATTCAAACACTGAGTAAGTGCATTGAACAAATCAATGACTGGATGTGTCAGAACTTTCTCCAATTAAACAAAGATAAAACTGAGGCAATGGTTTTTGGAGCGAAGGCAGAACGTATAAAAGTTAGCGCTGAGCTTCAGTCTGCAATGTTCAAAACAACAGATAAAGCCAGAAATCTAGGTGTAGTCATGGACTCTGACCTGAGTTTCAATAGTCACATTAAAACAGTTACTAAATCAGCCTACTATCACCTAAAGAACATATCTAGGATTAAAAGACTAATGTCACAGCAGGATTTGGAAAAACTTGTCCATGCTTTTATCTTCAGTAGACTCGACTACTGCAATAGTGTCTTCACAGGACTCACTAAAAAATCTATAAGAAAGCTGCAGCCGATTCAGAACGCCGCTGCTCGAGTTCTCACTAACACTAAGAAAGTGGATCACATCACTCCTGTTCTGAAGTCTTTACACTGGCTTCCTGTGTGTCAAAGAATAGATTTCAAAATACTGCTGCTGGTTTATAAAGCTTTGAATGGTTTAGAGTCAAAATACATTTCTGACCTCCTGCTAAATTATGAACCATCCAGATCTCTCAGGTCTTCAGGGACTGGTCAGCTTTCTGTCCCCAGAGTCAGAACTAAACATGGTAAAGCAGCGTTCAGTTATTATGCTCCAAATATCTGGAACAAACTGCCAGAAACCTGCAGGTCCGCTGCAACTCTGACTACTTTTAAATCCAGCAAGAAGACTTTTATTTTTGTCGCTGCTTTTAATTGAACTATTCATATCTTAGACTGCACTGTAACTTTTATCACTGTAACTTTTATCCATGTATTTTTTCTTTTAATGTTTATTTTATTAGCTTTTCTTTTTAATGACTGATTTTAAATGCCATTTTCTTAATGTCTTTCATTTTTTGTAAAGCACTTTGAATTGCCTTGTGTTGGAAAGTGCTATATAAATAAACTTGCCTTGCCTTGCCTTACTCTCCTTTGGTGTTTCATTTTATTTTTTGTAACTGTGTCTTTCTTACCCGACAGCATGCGGCTATTTTCATCTCTACAGAGAAAGCCGACAACCCTCTCCTTTTTCTCCTCTGCAATTTTCTTTTTGTCTCTCTTCGTGTTTCTCAGACTTACTTCCTTTCCTTTATTCACTTTGAGCTTATCAACTTTCCGCTGCAGCTTTTTTGCCTTCATTCTTTCACTCTTAAGTTCCTTCTTTATTTGGATGAGCTCAAACCTTAGCTTTTCCCTTTCCTTCAGCACTGCTCTATGTTTGCTGGTACTTTTCTGCACTGCCCTCACAGGAGTTGAGGATGCCTGTGGTCTCTCTAAACTTGACTGCACATAGTCATGATCAGCAACAACCACTATGGGCTCTGGAGGGCCAATAAGCTGGTCATCTTCTATGGAATTCAGTGAGGGAGGAGTAAGGTTCAAAACTTCAGCAAGCACCCTTTTCTTCTCTCTCTACTGCCTCTGATACTGCTTCCACTTTTTCCTCATCTGCACCTGTTTTTCCCTGGACAGATCTGCGACTGGGATGTTTGTGATCTTTCCCTGTCTCTTTCTCCTCTGATAGCTAAGAGTAAAGATGAATAAAACTGTTAGTCCTATGTCCAGAGCCTTAATTCATCTTCCATTTTAACTTCACATCTCTCACTAAAACTACCCTTGTAGGAGATCTACATCACTGATATTTTGCTTTCTCATGAAGCACTCAAGTGTGTGTGTGTGTGTGTGTGTGTGTGTGTGTGTGTGTGTGTGTGTGTGTGTGTGTGTGTGTGTGTGTGTGTGTGTGTGTGTGTGTGTGTGTGTGTGTGTGTGTGTGTGTGTGTGTGTGTGTGTGTGTGTGTGTGTGTGTGTGTGTGTGTGTGTAGTGTACCTTTGCCCTCTTTTAGCCAGGTAATTTACCCTTGCAGCAGGATCCGCATTAACCCGCGCTCTGTGGCGAGCCACTTTTTCTTTACTTGTAAGAGGCATCTATTAGGAGAAGAGAGAGTTTGTTGTTTGCATACACACACAAGTTTCCATCTACATACTGCTTGCTTACGTGCATTATCCTATAGAAATGTGAAACTAAAAAAAGATTTGATTTATAGATTTTAAAGTTATTTTAGACTATATTTCAAGCTGCACATCCTATTATCATGTTAATAGTAACAACAATAATCATTTTGAAGTTATTCTTATAACTAGTATTATTATTATTAATAATAATAATAATAAACATTACAAAAGAAGAACTATTGTCCATACATTGATCAAATTACTCTCATTTTGGTTCATATCGAACATGTTACAAAAATGATCATCATTATTTAGCCCTATGCTTTTTGCTGTCCACACCCTTCTCCTCCCCCTTCTCCTTCTCCTTCCTGCTCTCTCACCTCTATTTTCCAGAAGTTCCTAATCTCTCCCTTTCCTGTTTCTCATCACCATTGCTATCTGCTCTTCTCTGCCCTTGTCTGTTTCTGTTTCCCTGGTTTAACAGACTGGTCTTTCTCTCCGCTCTCATCCTTATTTCTCTCTCCTCTACTTCTTTCACATTGTATACTCATCCCCCGGCCTCCTACATAAATACATGTGTCTGTAGCGCCAGTCAACTGGAGCAGCATGATGAGGGAGCTTTAAAGACAGAGTGAGACAGGGAGAGAAGCTCCCCCTAAAATGGGTTCTATTACTGAGCTCCCACCCACGCGCGCGCGAACGGATGCATCCAAACACGCACGCGCATGAGCCAAGTGTACATGCGCGCACGCACACATTCCCATACAGCCCGGCCAATAAAGCAGCACAGAAGTGAGACAGAAATAACAATGCGCTCCCCAGCAGAGAGGACTGTCCGCAGCACGAGCCGCGTTCAGAGGATGTAAAGTGTGTGTAAAGTGTGTGTCCTGAGAGAACACACAATCCACCAACAGTGCCAACACAGACGCCACAAAAGGAGCAGTCACACACTGAGGGTATGGCAGCCTAATCAGATTACAGCGATGATTCATTTCCCGGGCACTAAGAATACAACTCCTGCTGGCACCCCCCTGGCAGGAAAACAAATCCACTGCATAGCAGAGCATCCTCCGCCATCTCACACACCCTGCATTATTAACAGTCGATCAATCAGCCTTACCTTCATCAATATCCACCTCCTCTCCTCTTTACGGTTTTCTCCACAATCCGTCCTCCCTCCTCTCCGACCGGTCCTCTAACGGCTCCGTTAAATCACACAGAACCGGAAGGTTTTTTAAAGGCGGTCAGGCTTGGCTGATATCCCAACTCCGGCTCTCCTCTCCGGGGCAACTCTTCTCCCCACCACAGCCGAGAGAGAGGGGCTCTCTGGGTAGTTTTGTGGGCCTGAATAAATGTGGGACCGGACGGCACAAAATAGCAGATACACCGGAACATACGTGGCGCAGTCAGGCAGAAAAAAGGGGGCGGAAATCCAGGTGCCGGTGGTCTCGCCGTACAAACCCACGAGAAGCACTCACGTACATATAGATCCTCAGACGAGAAGGTTGGGTGTATGCAGGGTCGTAAGGTTAGCCCCCCAAAGCCAATGAACGTTACTTCAGTAACGAATGTAATGTAACGGGGATGTAAGAGCTCGTGCCATCCATTTATATGTGTTGTTTCATCCGAGCAGTCCTCACAGAGACACCGGAGACATAGATCGGAGAAAAGTGATGTCTGGAGGCGAAATATCTTCAGATCCGACACCGCTCATCCCAAATCCCGGTAAACCCCGTGCCCACAAGGAACAACACCCACCGACCCTGAAGGTGTTAACGAGTACAAACAACCTTTTATCCACCATGCGTCTGCGGCTCCGAGCGGCTGCTCTGTTCCCCAAACGGCAGTTATCCCTCCAGGTAGGACCTGTTTAACAAATGCAAATAATGAATCCCAAATATTCCGGTAAAGCGCGCGCGGTTCCCATCCGTCAGCACGCAGAGATAGAGACCGAAGGCAGATTATGCAATCTGTCCGGGCGGGGTCCGCGGTCCCCAGGGACGGACAGCAGGGAGTCCGGCAGCAGGGAGCAGCATTTGGCGCGCTGAAGGAAATGACCAATCTCTCCTCTCATCAAGCTGACACACACACACACACACACACACACACACACACACACACACACACACACACACACACACACACACACACACACACACACACACACACACACACACACACACACACACAAACAAACAACCAACCAACCTCGGCCCGCAGTGAGACACGGTGCTGTCCTCCTCCTGACAGCTGCTGCGACCGACTGACTGACTGACTGACGGTAAACTTTCAATTAAACCGCAGTTAACGGCGCCTGCATCCCACCGGTAGGAGGCGGCTGTACGGGCGCACGAGGTTGAATGATTGGTGTGAGGGGGAGCCGTGTGCACGAGAGGTTGCGCGAGGTGTTCGACGAAAGAGACACACCCTTTCAGCCTTTATTTCCTTTATCAGATTACTGTATTTATATAGTAATCTATGCTATGATCTCCTGCTCTGAAACATGCAGAGTTCTGCATTTTGAATTAATGACGCGTTTCGGAAACTGGATACAATTGTTTTATGTATAAGGAAATATAATCATATCTTCTTTTAGTCATCACACATCTAAACAGCTAAATAACACATGTTGTATTAGGAGCAGTGCTGACGGGGGGCGGGGGTGTCTGATGCTATCAGAGAGAGAGAGAGAGAGAGAGAGAGAGAGAGAGAGAGAGAGAGCTCATTTTCCCCGTGTTATTATCCAAAGTGAATGTAAACTTGAATAATGTACATAATTTGAATGTAATAGTTAAGTTGATTATTGTTTGTGGAAGCTCCAGTGAATGAGCATTAGCTGAGTTTTAAACATCACTTTAAATGGAAGATTTAAATCTTCCATTTAGGCCCAGCCCACTTGATCAGATCGGCGATCGGTATCGGCCGATACTGATTCCGGCGATCGGCCCCGAAATTGGCGATCGGAGCATCCCTAATATTTAGGTCTGGTCGGGGACTGCCGGACAACCACAACATAGACTCTATGCATTACATTAATGCACACAATGTTGACAATACTGCTTACTGCACATATTTTACATTCTATAATTTATTGCATTCTATTTCAATGTAAATGACTGCTTTATTGTATTGCTATCTTAACATCGCTGCTACAACCCGTTGCTGCAGATACACGCTTTACAACATCAGGAAGATACGTCCCCAGCTGACTCAGAAAGCGACTCAGGTTCTGGTCCAGGCTCTCGTCATCTCACGCCTAGACTACTGCAACTCCCTCCTGGCTGGTCTACGTGCACGTGCCATCCGACCTCTGCAGCTCATCCAGAATGCAGCGGCTCGTCTGGTCTTCAACCTTCCTAAATTCTCCCACACCACTCCGCTCCTCCGCTCCCTTCACTGGCTTCCGGTAACTGCTAGAATCCACTTCAAGACACTGGTACTTGCTTACCATGCTGCGAATGGATCTGGCCCTTCCTACATCCAGGACATGGTTAAACCGTACACCCCAGCGCGTGCACTACGCTCTGCATCAGCCAAACGACTCGTTGCGCCCTCGCTGCGAGGGGGACCCAAGTTCCCATCGGCGAAAACACGTGGGTTTGCTGTCCTGGCTCCAAGATGGTGGAATGAGCTCCCCATTGACATCAGGACGGCAGATAGCTTGCACATCTTCCGGCGCAAACTGAAAACTCATCTCTTTCGACTCCACTTCGAGCGTTAGAACTATTAACGAAGCACTTTTATACTAATAAAGGACTGGCTTACCTAAAGCCAGTTGAGTAGCACTTGAAATGTTTGGCTCTATGAAACCTGATGTACTTATATGATTCTGTTTTCTTCAAGGTTGTGTCTTCCTGGTCGAATGTACTTATTGTAAGTCGCTTTGGATAAAAGCATCAGCTAAATGCAATGTAATGTAATGTAATGTTAATATATTTGTATTACAGTGTTCTTAATATAGTTCGCTATCTGTATTCTTTTTTAAATGTTTGTTTACATTTTTTATGTATGCACCAACCACCTATCTAACCACCTAGTCAAATTCCACGTACTTGTGAACCTACCTGGCAATAAACCCGTTTCCGATTCTGATTTCTGAAAAAATCCTATTTCCCAATCCAATCCATTTTATTTCTATAGCACATTTAAAAACAACAGAGTTGAACAAAGTGCTGTACATCAACAACTGTATAGCATAGCATAAATACATGAAAAACAGACAGGACATGAAACAAATGTAAAACACGAGACAATGAAACCAGGGTTGCACACTGATAGATGTTAAGGACTAACGTTTATAATAAATACATTTGTATTTATTTTTAAGATCTTTTCATAGTTCATACAATCATACATATTGGGATCATTTGTATTAATGAGCACCGGAGGGAGAGGGTGACGAGCATAAGTTTCACTTTCCTTTTTTTTTCCAATTCCAACTTTGGTCATGAAGAATATGTTTCTCTGTTGTCCACGTTCATAAAGCATAAAGCAACAGCATCAGAGCATGGTGCAGAGTCTCTAGATGAGTTTACAGTAGTCCCTCGTTCTTATTGAACATCCATGTTGTAGTCCGCTGTATAGAAAACTGTAGTTTCCATAGTTTCCCCACAGCAGCAGACGCACATTCATGACGTCCGCTGGCGCATCATAAACACGTCGGATAGTGAAAGTGCATTCGGATTCTCTAAAGTACCGCAGTCTCTTCTCCTACGTCCTTTTGAATTCTCCTATCCACTATCCCTTAACCCCGTGACGTTTCACTCAGAGGTCAAGGAATAGGAGATAGGGTTAGAATTTAGGAGCTGATTTTTGGATTATCGGAACGCAACCTAGATCAGAAGCCACAGACTGAGAAACTCTCCTACATGACGTAAAAACAATACAAAACAAAAACCCAAATGTAAAAGCACAAGTGTCACCTGGCCTGTAAATTTTTGCCTTTATTTATACAGGTGTAGATCTCATTGAGACACAAGGTCTTATTTTCAAGAGAGACCTGTCAGTGGTAACACTACCACACAAAGTTACAGACAGACAGGACACTAAACACAGAGGCAACACTAAAATACAACATCGTAAAAAAGTAGTCATTAAAATCCATATATAGCAGGTGCAAACACCCACAGACGATTTCTCCAGCTTTTTTAAAATGAGTTTAAAATCCGTGATGGGTATCAAAGTGGTCAGCTTAAGTTCCTGCTGAAGTGTGTTCCAGGTCGAGGGGGCAGAGTATGATATGGCTTTTTTCTCAAGCACCGTGCGTACTGAGGGGACGGACAGAGTGATGTAATGTTGAGATCTTAGTCTATAGCTGTACTGTTTGTGTGATATGTAAGTGGATATGTAGAGGGGCAGCAGTCCAAGCATAGCGGTATAGATGAGTTTGTACCAATGCAGTGACCTGCGCATTGATAATGATGTCCAGTTGACTAAAGCGTACAGCGTGCAGTGGTGTGTGAGGGGTTTACAGTTGGTTATGAACCTCAGAGCCCCATGGTAAACAGCGTCCAGCAGATGAAGGGAGTGAGCTGAGGCGTTCATGTACACAACATCCCCGTAGTCCAAGAGCGGCAAAAATGTGGCAGCTACAAGCCGTTTCCTCGCACTTGTGGAGAAGCAGGCCTTATTTCTAAAAAAGAATCCCAGCTTTAATTTCAATTTCCTTAAAAGATTGTCAATGTGTGGTTTGAAGCAGATATTTTCATCTATGGTGATGCCTAAGTATCTGTAGGTGTTAACAGCTTCAATGGGGTTATGCTGTGCAGACATGATGCAGGGAAGAACAGTTGGTAACTTTTTCTTATTGGAAAACAACATGACTTTTGTCTTATCTGAATTTAACACCAACCTAAGGTGGAACAGATGTGACTGAAAAGTGTCAAAAGCAGACTGCAGACGTTCAAATGCAAGCGCAACAGTGCTAGCACAACAGTACACAACAGTATCATCTGCATATAGATGTACAGACGCATCCATACTTTGACCCACATCATTTATATAAATAGTAAAAAGGGTCGGTCCCAAGACCGAACCTTGAGGAACGCCTCTGGGCACATTAAGAAAGCTTGAGGAGAGACCGCTGAATTTTACACATTGCTTGCGATTTGAAAGATAGTTTGCAAACCAACCAACAGCTTGGTCAGACAGGCCTATATGGGATAACTTCTGGCACAGAATGCCATGGTCCACAGTATCAAATGCCTTGGATAAGTCTATAAAAAGGGCAGCACAGTAGCTCTTTGCGTCCAAGCCTTCAACAATGTCATTCACTACTTTCAAAGCAGCCGTTACTGTACTGTGCTGCTTCCTAAAGCCCGACTGGTGAGGAGATAGAATGTTGTTCAAGCTTAAATATTCTTTGATTTGATCATTCACCAGCCTTTCAAGTACTTTAGCTAAAATAGAGAGCTTGGAAATTGGTCTGTAATTATTCATCACCATGGGATCACCACCTTTCAATAAGGGGAGAACATTTGCAGTTTTCCAAACATCTGGAATGACATTGCTTGTTATAGAAAGATTAAAAACATGACAAAGTGGTTTGGCTATAATATCTGCAGCTAGCCGTAAGAAATAAGGGGGGAGATCGTCCGGACCTGCTGATTTTTTGGGGTCTAGGCCCTTTAGAGCCTTACAAACCTCCCCAACATTGAAGGGGTTGAAGGAGAAAGTGTGGCTACTAGTGGCATGACTGGTGGTGATGGAGGGAGATGATTTACCAAAAGATAATGTGTCAAACAAGGAACTGGAGGCAATAAAATGTTTATTAAAACAATTAAGCATCTCTGTCTTATTTGACACAGGGGTGGAGTCAACAACAATGTTAGGAGGCAGCTCTAAGGAGCGAGAGCTGGCAGAGAGGGATTTTATGGTATGCCAAAATCTCCTAGGATCGTTTAAACTGTCTGTGGTCTGGGATAAGTAAAAATCGCTTTTGGCTTTTTTAATGGAAGCAGTACAGCGATTACGCAGTTGACGAAAAAGAAGCCAGTCAGCCTCAGAACCTGTCTTCCTCGCAGCAGCCCAAAGGAGATTCCTCTTGCGTAAGAGGGCTGCCAGATCAGAAGTGAACCAGGGGTTATCACGGCCCTTCACCCTGAACCGGCGAAACGGAGCATGTTTATCTAAAAAATAACTAAAACTGT